TGCTGTCAATACCAAAAAAAAGAAAAAACAACTACCCTTAAACAATAGAATTACTAACTATCAAGCTAACTAATATAATCTTTCAGGAAAAAATAATTAAAACATCAAAATCTTTTTTTTAATAGTAAAAAATTTTTATATAAACTTAATTCATATAAAAATAATTTATTTTTAAATTGTGCACACACTAATAAGAGTATCTACCACGCAGTCGCACACTCTATTATTCCCTTATCCAAATGTTCAATGTCGTTAATCCTCCTCACTATCACACCATTCCCACGCTCCCACTTGTATCCGCTCCCAATTTCCATCAGATGCCCTTGCTCCCCGCCCTTTCTAGAGCCATCTTCTCCTCCTCAGTTCACCCCCTCCCAAGGTCATTTTCGTCAATGAGCAACTTTGTCACCCCTTCCTCTTCCTCCGTCAAGGCCCGTTTGAGAGGCGTGGTGTTTGACATGGACGGAACCCTGACGGTCCCCGCCATCGACTTCCCGGCAATGTACAAGGCCGTACTGGGAGAAGAGGAGTATGTATCAATTCGAAAGCAGAAACCTTCCGGCATTGATATTTTGCAGCATATTGAAGATTGGAGCCCGGATAAACAGCGTCAAGCTTACGAAATTATTGCTGATTATGAAAAGCAAGGCCTTGATCGCCTCGAAATCATGCCTGGTCAGCCTCCATTTTTTGATTTTTAAGTTTCTTGGTGTTTTTGTGAGTTGATTCATCTGTTTTGTCCGATCATCATGCCTAATATGCAGTTAAAGAATGTACAAGTTTTTAGCATGTGGTACAAGTTGATACAGGGTTAGTCATAGTGGAGTGGCAGGAGTTTCTGCATTGTGACATGGAACTTTAAAACATCAAAATGAACAAAAAAAAAAGATCTTGGATTTGCGTTAATCCTGACCTTTTTGGATTACTTAGTTATTTAAAAGCATTTCAGTTAATTGCCATGATTACTTGATGTCATAACAAATTTAACTTTTGTACAGTACTATTGCATTTCAGGTGCTTCAGAACTTTGTGCTTTTCTTGATTCAAGAAGCATTAGGTAAAGTTTATATTGATCCCTTTCCCGTCTTGCATTTTTCTGCAATCTGGCTGTTAGAGCTATAGAGCCTTTTGTTTTTTCATGAATGTTTATACTTACAATTCTTAGTTTTTAGCACCTCTTGGTGTCATGATTGGGATGGTAAATGGATACACATCTTGTGTTAAATTTTCACTAACCAAGTTTACTGACTTTGCCCCTACATTTTTGATGAGATGTTTCCACTTTTCCCGGAAGACTTAATTGTTAGTCCATGATATCTGCAAACAGCAAAACTTTGAGTCCTATTATGGGGCTGTTGCTGCTAAGTGGAGTTTTGCACTAATTGATATTTGCTAAATTTGTCATGCTAATAGTTCTTTTTTCTTGTTGAATTGTTGATACTTGGCGATTGGATTGAGGATTTTTCTATAAGCTAGACTACCGATTGCTACTCAATTCATTCTTTCAACTAATAATACATAGTACTTCTGTTCACTTTCCTATACTTTGTTTGCAGTTTCTTCTGAATTGGTAGGCTTGGGGTTGCACATCAATAACTCAATATTGAGCCATCTGGTGTGTGAATGAGTTATGGTAGCTTGTTTTTAGTCCTCAGCATTCAATCATGCAGCAGAAACAATTTTGTTCTTAAATTTGTATTCCATTAGGTGTAATTTTTTTTAAAAAAATTAATGCTCATTGATTTAAAACGTAAAAGACTTGGGAGTAATTAACTGTTTGACTATTCATTTTCTGGACTTGAGTCATTTCTGTCATTTGATTCAGTTGAAATTTTCTGATTGGATTTTCAGGAGGGGATTAATAACTAGAAATGTCAAGACTGCAGTTGATTTGTTCCATGAACGCTTTGGTGTAAGTTTTCCTGTGTTTTATAACCTTATAAAGATAATTGGTCCTTCATATAGACCTGCTTATTTGCCTTATTACATGATAAAACTTCTGAGGAAGGAAATATGTAAGCATTGATCACATCAGAATAACCTGTGCTGTTTTCAAGTTAATTTCTAATTTTCTCTTCCCTTTTCTGTTTCGTTTCTGTGGTCATCATTTTTTGGTTTGAGTTGGGAGTGGATGGATGGGAAAGTGGCGTTCTAATCCCGTTTTGTCTTTCGCTTTCTCTCTAAATATCTCCATTAACTTATGCAAATGAGAACAAATGCATACAAGTTAGATACATTTTAGTTCTGTTTCTGTTTCTGTTTCTATCTTTCTTTTTAAAAACATTCCTCTTTCCTAAGTTTCATTTGCTGAAAAGTATTTCTAGTTCTTTGGAACGTATCAATTTAACAGCAGAATCTAGTTTTGCATCAGATATTCTCGTATTTGTTTCTTAGGGTTGATGCTTGTAACCTTACTCCATTTTTATTGTTGCTGCAGATAACATTTTCTCCAGCATTAAGCAGGGAGTTTCGTCCTTATAAACCAGATCCAGCACCGCTGCTGCATATTTGTTCAACATGGGAAGTTCGACCTAGTGAAGTAATGATGATAGGAGATAGTCTTAAAGATGATGTAAGCTCTTCTCCAGTTGAAAATTTCAATTATGTGTTCAGCCCAACTTGAACATTGGGGATCAAGTGTGTTATTTGCTTCTTCTTCTTATCTTTTTTTTTTTCCTTTTAAATTCCTGTGGGGGATTTTTGAGGGGTAATGGTCAATGAACCATGTCTGACTAGGTCATGGTTTCTAGATGAGGAACTCTGTTTCTTCCAGTATGGATACACTTTATCAGATGAATTTGGTATCATACAATAGGATTTGCGATTGGATATTTGCAATGCTGTTGAATGTTCTCTATTTCAAAACCATTCAATCCATTTAGCACAACTTCAGTTTTTATTCATACAGTCTTTTCTTTTTCTTTGTAATTATTATATACTTCTCTTTATTTTGCTTCAAATTTGGGCAAATTGAAAAATACATGTGCTGTGTAAATTGCTTACTCGCTATTGTCGTTGCACTTCTTGTATCATTGTAGTCTTTTAATGAGATTCTTGCTTTTTATATAATTGTGTCAAGTAAGAATTTCTGACAATGTCACCCAATTTACCGCACGCTCACCATTTTGCATTGACTGATTCATATATTGCGCCCTTTGCAGGTGGCTTGTGGGAACCGAGCTGGCACTTTTACATGCTTGCTTGATGAAACTGGGAAGTATGACTCTCCAAAGTATGAGCACGTGGAGTATAAACCAGATTACAAGGTTTCTTGTCTAGCTGGCATTCATTCACTATTGGAAGCAAACTTTGAACTGGCACCTTGAAGGCAAACTCGAGGGACAGCGCGGCACAAAACCGATTGCATGAACAAAGCTAAAAGTGGTCCTAATGTGATCCTCTACTGATTATCCAATGCTTTTTGGGTAGAAGCTCTTTGAAAAATGAGGAATAAAGATCACATTTTGATCAGCGAAATGATCAACTTTTTAGCTAGCTTCATAGTATATTAGCTGATGAATGGAGCTCTAGATGGCCTTTACACAGAAGGCAGTTTGTATGTAATCCTGGACAGGTTGGCCATTGCCTTTGATGTGTGAAGCCAACACTTTACTATCATACTCTCCAATGAAGAGGAAGTTATATTGTTGATATATTTGCCCTAAATAATGTTGAATTAGTTTTTAATCGCATTATATCTTCAAAATTTTCCTCTTTCATTCCATTCTTGATGACGAATCTTTCAGCCGTTTGACATATTTGTCCTTTCAATTCTTGTTACAAATATGTTTTTTTATACAAGGTAATTAAGATAGATCACAATATGGATAACAACTAGCTGAGTTACTAAAAATTCCTAACAAGTCAAGTTACTAAAAATTCCTATTATACTCGTACTTTTTTCACTAACAGGACAGGATTGGACATCAATCCTAAAACATATACTAATCTAAATCTGCCAAAATATACTTTAATATGCTATAGGGATCCAAACGAGAAAAATAGTGGAAATGGAAGAACCATATGATGAAAAAACAAAGGAATTTCGCCATTTTGGTCCTGAACTTTTTTACTGAAACCAATTTCATCATTGATGAATTATTTTAACCAATTTAGTCCTCTAATAAGTTTTTTACTTTTGACGTTATTTTACGCAATCCGCGTGGACTTATAGGGGCATAATCATCACACTGGTCTAATCTTCTGCAATTAATAGAGGTACTTTAAAAAATATCAAATTTCACCATCACAAATCACAAACAAACAAAGTTAATTTAAAAAAATATATACCAAATTTCACCTTCACAAATCACAAACAAAGAAAGTAAAATTTCAGAAGCACCATCCCAAAGTAAAAGCCTATCTATAAGTACTTTAACAAGATTTTCACATCCCCAAATCTATTCATGTGCCAACGTAGATATATAATATTAAGAAAGTAGACCCCTGCCCTCAAATCCTTCCTGTCCGTATACATTATTTCACCATTCCAACACACTATGGTACTAAAATTGACCTGCTAATACATAGATTAAATATTTTAGATTCGAAGTTAATGTTTACTTGATCTTGTTGACAACTTAGCCTGATTGTTGCCATCCTTGTCACCTTAGCTATCATCCATTGCCGGAGCTTCCAATCTTCCTAGTTCATTTCTGGTCGCCATTGTGATTTCGAAGAAGCCCTAGTTGTTCTCCCAATTTCTTCCATTTCTATTCCATTTTTTGAAGTTAATCACAGAGTGGGGTATTCACCTGTTAATTGCAAAAGATTTGATCAATGTCCTGATTATGCTCCTGTAGGTTCACGAGGATTGAATAAAATGTGGTCAAAAGTCCTACATTGAAAGTAAAAAACTTGTTAGAGGACTAAATTGGTTAAAACAATTCATTAAGGACGAAATTGATTTTAGTAAAAAATGTTCAGGACCGAAATGGGGAAATTCCCAAAAACACAAGAAGGAAAAATAAACAATCGGCAACAAAAGACTCTCAATCAGAGAGTAGGAGGTGCTGGAACAGGAAACCCTTCTGGGAGGTTGATGTCATTTATCCCTCAGGTCATTCACCAAAATTATGTATATATAGTTAATAGTCATCACATTTTCAAAGGCATTTCAATATCTTGTGTAGAGTATTTCCCCGGTCGGCTGAAATAAGAAAATCTCCCACCTGTAAAACGCAAAATTGACGAGCAGTTATCAGGAAATGGAACTCTTCCAAGAAATTCAAGAAGTAGAGGAATCTGGTTTTGATTCTGCCGCCGTCCGCCACCATCTGAATTCCACCACCGTCACTACCCCCACCACCCTTGAGACGTGCACTGGCTGTGGTTCCATAAAGAGAAGATCACCTTCCTCATCTTCATTTTCCCAGGAACCTTCTCCCAAAAGGGCCACCCATTATCCCCCTCCATCCAGCACCACAACAACCAGCACTTCTCCGCCACTATTACCATCACCGCCACCATCTTCTTCCAATGCAATGCATGCCAATAATCTCCACCATTCACTCTCTGAGACTACTGCTTTAACTCAGCTGACGAATCCCCGGTCACCTGACTATTTGTCCAAGGCTAATGCTGATATATCAGCATCTGCATCACCATCTGCGGTGGCAGTGGGAGCCTCACTGACATTGCCACCACTTCCTCCGGTGACCCTTTGGAGGCCTCTATCTGATCACACTTCTTCAGAGTTTCAGCCAACGCCTCAGCCTGCAAGAAGAACCCTGTTGAGGTCTCCAACATCTGATCAAGAAAGTCTTGAATCCAAGGTTTGTTCTTGAATGTTAAAGTTTCTGTCTTTTCATATTGGATTCTAATTTGATTGCCAAGTAAATTGATTTTTGTTTAAATTTGCAGAGCTTGAAGAAAATAAAGCAGAAATTGAAGGTAATGAGCCAATGGGTAGAAAAAGTCATGAGAGAAGAAGATGAAGAATATACACATTCTGAAGAAGAAAACTGCAATATCAATTCCAATTCAAAGGTTTGCGAGTGTTTCTTTTTTAATTTGCTTTAGAGTTTGGGTTCCGTATGAATTTGCTTCATAATCAAAAACATTATTTTGGAAGCTTGACAGGAACAATAATTCGAGTTAATTGCAGAAAGACTAACTTGTATCGGTTCCATGATTTGCTTTCCTTTTATGCAACTGCAGTTTTAGTTTCTTTCTAATCTTGTTTTTGATCGTGTGCCTGAATGACTGATGCCAAAATGAGTAGCTTGGGATAGTTCTTTGCTGTATTAATTATTTGATGGATTTGTGTTATAACAAGTTGATTGGTAATTTTTCTGGCTTCAATTATTGTGGTGTTTTATTGCTGCAGCAGGATGCATCTGAGAAAGGCGCAGAGGCTCAGCCTGAGGAAGCTGTGTGGGTTGAGAAGACAAATGGGGAGGACTTAGTTCTTCACTTCAAATGTCCCTGTTCCAAGGGCTATGAGATTTTTCTTTCTGGAAACACCTGTTACTACCGATTAATGTAGTCCTCCATTTTAGTGGCAATAATACTTAAATTTTCTCAGGTCTTATATCTTACTGCCTTTTATTTCTCATTGCAGTTTGCTTTGTGAGGTTAACAATTCACATTTTGCTTTCCATTCTGCTGCAGGTTGACTCAAGGCTCTTTCAAAGAAATTGCCTTTTAAATTTGATTGGACAGAGTATTTTCCAGAATGGTGGATTTGTACATTGATTTTCTGATGGAATACTTTTACAGTAGTTGGTCTGATTTTACATCTGGTTATCTAGGCAAATCTAGTTTATATCCTTAGTGAATTTGTTGTAGAAGTAGAAATTGTAAGTTGTGTACAGGGAGGATAGATGAAGAATTCACAAATTCTTTATAGATAGCTTTATAGTAAAACTGTGGATGAATCTATTCCGTTACTTCCTTTTCAGTTGTTTTTTTTTTCCGGACCTTTTCAGTTGTTTACTTCATGAAATAACAAGGCATGAGAATACATTCTTTGGAGTCTTATCAAATGACCTTCTGACCATGATGTCCTTACCTTATCAATGCTAATGCAACAGATATGACAAATAGTGATAATCATGATAATGATGTTGTATTTAAAAGTTGCATTAGGTGATAATGCGCTGATATGACAAAATAGTCTTAATCAATTGGGACCTTCAACAAACTCACAATGATGTCTCACTTGAACTATATTCATCAAACATCATTTCTTGCGATTACTTTTGACGTGACTGCATAATTATCGGATATCACCAATATATGCAAAATTAGAAGGTAAATTGCAAAATTGAAAAATGTGATTTTAAAGGAAGCATTCCATAAAATATTTGGCTAGCCAAACCAAGAGCTTTGAGTATAAACCTGTGATAGAATTGAGGGGCGAAGGACTAGCATATTTAACATGTGATTAGCATTACATTGGCTAAACAAGGAAGTCACAAAAATAGAGCACAAAGACCAATGGCCTGATGGAGTGATGGCCACCACAAAAGCAAGTGATCAAGAATTAGAATCCTGCTCGGTATCAATTGTTACTTAATACGTGACTTCTTTTAAATTCGTCGGGTGCTTGGTGCACCCGCTGGTTTCTAAGGTTAATTTCGTTTGAAATCGTTTGTTTCGAGTTTTGTTTATGTTCCGTTTGTTCTATTTTTATTTAACTACCACGTGTATTGATTAATAACTCTTATTATAATTCTACTATGAATAAATCTAACAATCAATAATTCTTAAGATTCTGTTGGGGGATAATTCCAAAACATGATGCACGTGATAGTTAAATAAAGGCAAAACAGAGACAAATTCAATCTAACTATTACATGTATTGATTAATAACTCTTATTAGGATTCTATTATGAATAAATCTAGCAATCAATAACTCTTGAAATTCTGTTTGAGAGTAATTTCAGTAATATAATACACGTGATAATTAAATAAAGCCGAAACAGATGAAACAAAGAAAAATTTGAAATGGATGATTTGAAGCGGGTTAATTTGGACCTCTCTCAGCTCTGCGGTTCATTTGGGCTTGTCTCCCATTCCTATGCATAACACAAAAAGCTGAAAAAAAAGAAGGCACAAAACATCTATGATGACCACATGTCAAAGTCATATGGGCCATGGGCACATGAACATTCCCGCCGATAATTATCATATCAAGACCACAAAGCATTATCCAAGGCCTATAGGACAAAGCAAGTACCATTTCTCTTTGTTGGCTGAATGGGTCCCTTCGAATCTATTTAGAAAAGACTAATTTTCTTTTTCTTTTCCACCAAAACTTCCCAAAAAAATTACAGCGGCCAGCGTCAACATCTCAAGAATCAGCCTTGCAATTAACTAATAATCTAAATACAGTAGCTTATTTGTCTTTCCTTAGCTTAAAAAAAAAATACTAAATTTATACATCTAATCACTAAGCCTCTCGAAGCCTCCTCAGCTCTGGTTTTATTTGGATAGAATATTATTTCAAATAATTATTTGGTATGATTATTGTAACATTTTTTTTGAAATATGATGTATGTGAGATAAAAAAGTGATTGAAAATATAAAAAAATAAATTGAAAAATATTCTTATGATGCAAGTGAAAATTTTTTTTTCTTTCTTTCGAATTTGTACTCGAAAAACAAATTATAGGACTTGAAGTTCTTGCCCTTGTTCTTCTATTCTAGATGCCTCTCTTCTATCTTAACTAACTCCTCTTACTTTTTCCAGTTAGATTCCATGTTGAGAAGGCTAAAGCTTCAAATACTTTTTCTTGTCGTGTGAGGATTCAGAAGGTCTCAAAGCCTGTTTTTTGATCTGCATACATTGCTTCAGCTCCAAGCCTCAATCCTTAATTCTTCAAACCATGCTTTGTACATAACTTTGCATTGACTCTAGAGCAATACTCTTGAGTTCTTAACCATCTTGCCTCAAGTTCTCGTGCTCAAAAGATCTTGTAAAACTTTAAGACAATCGCATATTTAATCCATCATGGGCATCAAGCAAAACTAAACTTTCATCATACATAACCACCTTAAGAAAACCAGGAAGATACCGCAATTTATATCTCATGTCGAGATTCTTGTATGTACCATCTTCTGGATTATAAAGTACCAAACTGGACTCAAGTTTCAGCAATAACTCCCCCCTCTTTGTTAAGAACACAGGTTGGACATCAATGTCGAATCCAATCCGACATTCAAGACCTGCAGGATAGCGAATCGAGCACATTTTGGTCCAAGATTGTGTAGCTCCATAGTCGGTCATAATCCAGACATCTACCTCGGGAATTTGAATCCAAAGGAAAGCAAGGCATCCTTCCCCTAGAACTCCTATACTCCATCCTTTACCACTCGACTTTCCCTTATAATTTTCGGGAAATTCTATCACCCCACAAGTCTCATGAGCCAAATCAAAACTAACAATTTTACCAACAACTTTCCGTGGACGATAGCGATCTTCCTCCTCGGGACGAAAATTTGCGTTCCAATGGAGCTTCCCGCCAACAAAACATCCCCCTTTAAGTTGCCAAATGGGATAGTTTATGGAATACTCGTTCCTCTTCCAGGAATTAGTCCTTTGACTATAAATTTCAACAACTTGACCCTCAGCATTCTCAAACGGGCTGGCACGGAAAAATGCGATCAATTTGTAATCATCGTGCAACTCATCATACCCGAACCCATATGCTGCAACACCAGAATTCCCAAAATGAGGCAGTTGGTAAAACAATTCGGGAATGGATATTGAAATTCGATTTCCAAATTCTCAATTGTCGATAGAATTACCCCAATTTCATAGTTTAATTAAATATTTTGATATTTCATGCCTACTAATATATCATATTACATAATAACGTATTATTCAATAGTGCTATAAGTTATAATTTATGCTTATAAACAAATGTGTGACCTTAAAAACGTATTAATTAACATATTAATAATTTTTATATTGTAAATTATATATTAAATATCTTTAACTAATCCATATTAGAAAATCAATCTAAAACTTTGGATTGAAATTGATGTTGACCTTGTTGAAAAAAATAAAAAAACTAAAGTATTGAATAATTTTTTGACCGAATTATCGATTACCTATCCATGAACACCCCTAGTCACAGCATGAAATGTTTGATTTAGATAAAGTATTTCTCCTGAAACTATATTTATTAGTGGATAGATCGTAGATCTAATACATGGCAAATATGATAAAACCAGAATTGGATTGCGGTTTATTTGCCAAAATATATTTGCTTACATCATCATTACAATTTTCAACGCACCTTTTTATCTTTCCAATTACCTTTTTATCTCACATACATCACATCACAAAAAATGCTACAGTAAAAATATCTCTAATAATTCACAATCCAAACAAACCCATTGACACATGGACAATTTTGCTTTGACCATTATGCCTATGAAACTATTGGAAACCATTATGTGCCTGGTTGCAACTGAGTATTGTCTTTGAATCGTGATAATCATGTTGTATCTAAAAGTTGCATCAGGTGATAATGCGCTCATATGACGAAATAGTCTTAATCAATTCACAATTATGTCTCGCTTAAACTAAATTCATCAAACTTCATTTCTTGCGATTACTTTAGACTTGACTGCATAATTATTGGATATCACCCTGTTGTTGTTGAAAGGTAGGATATATGAGATATGATATATGCGAAATTAGAACATAAATTGCAAAATTGGAAAATATGATTTAAAAGGAAATATTCCATAAAATATTTGGCTAGACAAACCAAGAGTTTTGAGTTTAAAACTTTGATAGTTCTGAGGAGGTGAATGACCAGTACATTTAACATGTGATTAGCATTACATTGCTAAATAAGGATGGCACAAAAATAGAGCACAAAAACTAGTGGCCTATTAGGCCGATGGCCACCACAGAGGCACTAGCAAGCGTCTTTGTGGGATGAGTGATTAAGAGTTAGAACTTGTCTCCCATCAAATGTCACTTAATTTGTGACTTCTTCTAAATTCAGTGAGTGCTTAATGTATTTGTATCTAATTCGATGGTGATTCAGTTTCTGTCGATTTTTAGAACGTGGTTGGATGCAGTTGGACCATCATAGATGTATGGCACAAAAAAAAAAAATCAAAAACCAAAGTAGAGGACAAAACAACCATGGTGACTGACTTGTCAAAGTCATATGTCGGACACCAATAGTCACTGTTGTTCCTCGGCATGGGCCGTAGGCATATGAACATCCCCAGAAGCCCACAAAGCATTGTCCAAGGCCTAAGGCGTGTGTAGGACAAAACAAGTCCCATTTCTCTTTGTTGGCCGAATGGGTCCCCTCGAATATATTTAGAAAAGACTAATTTCATTTTTCTTTTCCACCAAAATTTCCCAAAAAAATTACAGCGGCGGAGCGGCCACCATCAACATCTGAAGAATCAGCCTTGTAATTAACTAATCTAAATACAGTAGCTTATTTGTCTTTCCTTAGCTTAAAAAAATACTAAATCTAAATATCTAATCACACTAATCAGTAAGCCTCAGCTGGAAGCCTCTTCATCTCTCTCTTTCTTTCTAAACTGGTCTCAAAATACAAATTATAGGACCTGAGGTTCTTCCCCTCACTCTTCTATTCTAGATTCCTCTCTTCTATCTTGGCTAACACCTCTTACCTTTTCCAGTTAGATTCCATGTTTGAAGACTAAAGATTAAAATGCTTTTTCTTCTTGTCTGAGGATTCAGAAGGTCTCAAGTCTATCACAGACCTGTTTTTTTTATCTACATACATTGCATCAGCTCCAAGCCTGCAGCCCTTAATTCTTCAGACCATGCTTTCTACATTGGTTTTCAGTGGAAAACCAGTATGTTCAAGAATCCAGAATCCCAGAAAAGATCAATCTCGCTATCATTCAATCACCAAAATACAGTCTTGTCAACAGCAAAATCCCAATACCGAGAATTCTGTCAGCAAGTTTTGGACAGGGCCTAGGCCTAAACCCCACCTCATAAACCCTTTGATAACAACTACTGAACAGAACCCTGTTGATGAAGCCGCTAAAAATGGAGCCTTTGAGGGAACAAATGGTTCTCTGCAAAAGGGTTTTCAGCAGATGTTGGTTTTGTGTGGATTCGGATACTGGGTGAATGGTTTCAGGTGCTTTCCTTGGTTGGGACTCAACTTTCATATGGCTAGTAATCTTTGTATGCAGCCTTCAAATCTGCAGATGGTACAGAATTTTGGTAGTCTTCCAATGGTGGCCAAGCCTCTGTATGGGGTATTGTCTGATGCTCTGTTTATTGGGCGGGCTCGTAGAATACCTTATGTGTCCATTGGAGGTAACTGTGCTTCCCCATACCATTTTTGGTAATATTCTGCTGCCAAAATTTAAAGTTGAGCTAATCGCTTTGCTGTTTAGCCATTTTTTTTTCTTTGTTTTTATTTTGTTGTGAGATTGGTTGATTAGGTATTTGATTGAATTTCTTTTTCATATCCTTTCTTGCTATTGAGGTTTCATATGCTTAACCTTTGTAACATCTACAATTTAGAAACCCCTTTTGTGTATTTTTATGTATCTGATTTACTGCATTACAATTTTTTTCTTCAGAATGTATGAGGTTCCGAGGATAATATAGGAGAGGAGTATGGTTGATAGAATTTTTAACTTCCTGTAATATAAGAAAAAAGAAAAACTGAAATTAAACTCGTAGTCAGAAGAAATGTGTGACTCAAGCAAAGCTTTTGACTCCTTTATCACATGTGATGATGCACAAGGACACTGACTTTCAAATTTGGATGGCTTTTTATTTTGCTTCCCTTTTGCCACCTTGTTACATCAGTACGTGAACTGGAATTCTTAACTTTTGTGATTGTATCCGTTTAAAGTTAATGCTAGCTGGCATTATTGAATGTGGCCTAGAAAATTTGTAAACACTTGAGAACAATCATTGTCTTTGAGGCTAAGATTGCACATATAATTTCATATTAAAATGAATGCTATATTGCCAGAAATATTTGGGTAATTATTTAATGTAAATGTTGTGTATCAATTTGTCAGAATATTTTTTAAAATTTATTTTAATTCTCTGAATACTTCATGGTTGATATCACCAGAAAATCGAGTCATTTTTTGGTTGTGTTTTAAAACACATTATCCTTTTGATGGTTGATGGTTATTTTGTGGTAGGTTGAAGCCTTGTGGTCTGATCAAGCATGATACCTGATATGATTTGGGTTCTGTCTTATGTTATGACCAGAAACTTGTGCTTATTGTCTGGCAAACTTGTATGAAGTGTATGTTCTGGTAAATTTGATGTACTAGCTCTCTAAGATTTTGTTAGCATGTTGTACAGGCATTGTAGTGAAAGAAGTTAACAATTTATTCTATGGGTTAGTCTTTCTTCAGGTTCTGTCTTGGGGATCGTTGGCATTAATTCCAGTTGCAAGTGAAGCTCTTTCAATTCTTCTTGCATGTGTTCTGCTCAGTAATCTTGGGGCATCTATTGCAGAAGTTGCAAAGGATGCTCTTGTTGCAGAGTACGGTCAAAAAAACAAGATGCCTGGTCTGCAATCATATGCATTCATGGCCTTAGCAGCTGGTGGGATTCTAGGGAACTTGTTAGGTGGTTATTTCTTACTACAAACTCAGCAACCCAAGTCCATGTTCCTATCATTTTCTGTTTTACTGGCTTTTCAACTTACCATAACTCTGGGAATGAAAGAGGATTCTCTTGGTTTACCTCAAACATCAAGTCACTCTTTGGTGAGGAAATCAATCTCAGAAAGTATTAGAAAACAGTACTTTGATCTTCTGGTTGCGGCAAGGGAGGAGAGTATCTCTCGTCCTCTCATCTGGATTGTTGCTTCCACCGCAACTGTTCCAATCTTGTCAGGCTCCATATTTTGCTATCAGACGCAATGCCTAAATCTTGATCCATCAGTTATAGGGATGTCAAAGGTGATTGGCCAGTTAATGCTTCTTGTGATGACTGTATCGTATGATCGCCTTTGGAAACATGTTCCCATGAGAAAACTAGTTGGCATTGTGCAGATTTTGTATGCTTCCTCAGTTCTTCTTGATCTTATACTTGTGACACAGGTGAATCTTCGGTGGGGGATTCCTAATGAGGCTTTTGTTTTTTGCTTTTCTGGAGTAGCAGAAACTCTAGCACAATTTAAGCTCTTGCCTTTCCATGTGCTTTTTGCAAGTTTAGCTCCACCTGGCTGTGAAGGATCTTTAATGTCTTTTCTGGCTTCGGCTTTGTGCTTGTCGTCAATAGCTAGTGGTTTCTTTGGTGTTGGATTTGCCTCTGTTATTGGCATCACATCTAATGATTACACAAGTTTACCTACCGGGATTGTCATGCAATTTCTTGCAGCATTACTGCCATTGCTCTGGATTAATCGAGTGCCTGCAACACATCCTTCAGCTGAAAAGGAAAGGAAGAAAGGTAGGAGTATGAGGACCCGGAGAACTAGAAGGGTGGGGAGAGTTGGATTTGGTTCAATATACTCTTATAGACGTGAAAGAGAACCTGACTTTCTGAGGTGAGAATCTAGTGCAAAGTTCTGGTGGTATTGTACAATTATCCATGAACAGAAGCACAGAATTCAGGACGCTCCTCATCTCCCCAGATTTCAACTCATCAAGTTTCTGTGGGATAGGTGCGTTTTGCTTTTGAAACGTCATAGAAGACATTGGCAAATTCAATCTTAAGCGAGCTCTGAGAAGAAATTTCCACTGATAGCAAGCTTGGATGTTCTGTGACCTTTCCAGGAGACATAACTCAAAATAGACCTGATTGGTAATAAAAGTTAGCAGGCTCTGTGAAGTTGCCTTACAAAAAACTCTCATGCTGATGAATAAATGAGCCAGGTAGGAATGCTGTTCTAATGTTTGGTTGTACACGAACAGATAACACAGAAGATACCATGTTTGGTTGGGAAAATTCAACCAACATTACTTGTGGAATTAAGCATCCCAGAATTGTATATGCAAGTTGAAAAGAGTTTTTTTTCATCATAGATGTTAAAAATTTCTTGTTTATCAGAAACACATGGAAAAGTAGTTGAGACGAGATTAAGACTTAACACAATTAGCTTCGTCTAATTTGGTTACTGCACAGTGCCCTCCAGAGTGGAAAACATTGTCTGCACAATTGTTTAGTATAATCCCTTTTGCTTAGCTCTTGGCACAGTTTGTACTAAAGAAAGCTTTGAACAAAACATCATGTGCAACTGATTCTGAATCAGAAGAACCGCATAAAATATTGAAAAATTTATGTCTTGGATAAAATACATAGTCATATTACACACAGATAAAGGTTGGCTTGTAGGCCAGCATAAGCGTTTTCCCTCATAAGAGCACAAGCAACTGGCTAATGGACTTTGTTTGCATTAATGAAAATTAAGTTTCTGGGACAGGTTACAAGAAGAGGAAAAAGAAGCCCAGCGAAAGAAGAACAAACAACCTTCAAATGTCTATTTTTCTTTCTTGTAGTGTTGCAGGATGAAAAATTGGTCTGTACAGAGTTTAGGAGAAGCAACAAAGTGGCAGCCAGAATGGAAATAATGGACCACTGGGTCTTGAGATAATTCTTCATCAGGTGCGCCTTCCAGATATTTGGTTGCCAGCTAGACTGCTTGTTAACTGTCTTAAAAAGTCTCAGGTAGCAGAAGCTATCTGAGAGTAGCACATCCTAGGCAAGTTTGCTAAACATGGTAGAGACAGCTGCATCATCACCTATCCAATTTCTTACAATCCATCTGTGGCGATGCTTTTCAACATCCCCGTCAGAATCAATTAGGAAGTCCATGAATGTTACACAATCAGTTACACATCTGTAATCCTCATAGTCGGTAAGAATGTATTCTTCGTATGCCACTAAATTTCTGAAGAAAGTTTCTGTAACATCTCCAACAGGAAAAGGAGGGATTTTTATTACCCCATTTTTGAACGTAATGCGGAGCCATGATATACTTTTCTCAGCCTTCTCAAACTTAATTACTCTTAGTTGTAGCCCCAAGGTGGATTTTATGAACTCAAATGGGGGATTATCATATAAATCCTTGATTTCAGGAAGTGTTGCAGCAAATGAATAACACCAGCTTTTGTGCATGAGATCAAGAAGATGAATGGCCTCACCATCAGAAATTCTTGAACAGAACTGAAGACCATCACAATGCGGAAAAAAATCATTGGTAAAATAGAGAATTGCAAGATCACTAGGGTTCTCTTCCCTGTCTGGAAACTTAGTCATGCCAAACAACTGAACCGGGAGAAATAGGGGCAGCGCTGATTTCGAATAATAATAGGTCTCTGTGTACTGATATTTTAAGCCATCCCATCTGGAAGATGGAATCCTCATCATTCCGCAATTCACACTGGTAGGATTTCGTTAAAAGTATCGATGAGGAAGCAGCCATCTAGGCACATCATTTCCACAAATTCGTCATTACTTGGACTGATTTCTTCTGCATAACACTTTCGAGTGCGCTCTTCAAGCTGTGACGAGGCTACTATGTATCTTTCCACACTTGACTCGCCCCTTTGAAGAAGAAGCTGATGCAAATACCACAGCTTATGCTTTTCCATTTTTGGTAATTTACTTTTAGCATGATGATAAGGTCCAATAGCAACAATTTCTGGTTCGTATGCCTGAGGGTTGTGCCTCCGTAGCCCGTCACGGACTCTGAATATACATTTCTCATTTGATGTTTCTGATATCTGAGAAAGCTTTCGATCGAGACCAGTAGAAATAAATTTTAGCATTTCTCCGGGCACCCTCTTTGGAGAATAAAATGCTGCACGGAAAGATTAACAAAATCAGTCTAATTAAGTTGATTGGCAACTCCTTGAACCAGGTTTATACTGATTTGCGGGTGCTGATTCTGACTTTTAAAGGTTTTTATCGTTTGAAGCTAGTCATCATGGAAAGTTAGGTAAGGGCTGAAAACAAATCAATGTCACCAGCCCTTATCGCTGGGAAGGATACACAATCCTGGCTATTCTATTGTCTTGTTTAGGCATTTGTCTTCCTATCTCACTCAATTGATCTAGTTAGAAATTGTACAAGTTTAGCCAAATATATGCAATTATCCTAGAAGATAAAAGAGGAAATGTAAATGGAATCAAAAGACAAGCAAAGGCTACTAAACAAAAAGTACGTATCAGACATATTTTCTGAGAAATAGATGAAATGCTTCAAAAAGACCTAAGGGGTTTATTAGCAGTAGGAATCTTGGATGCATACAGAAGAAAGAATATATCAACAACACTCTCAGTCAGTACAACTTTTATTAGTATGGAATGGTGAAACATGGTTATATACCAAGTTAGATATAAAACTCAGTTATAGGTAGGACAATATGAGGTAATATGACTCAATTCAAAGGAGAAATTTTTTTTCAACTAGTTCGCTAGTCAGATTTCCAATATATTTCACAGCAGAGAAATACTCGAAAAATTTACCTGGACAAGAGGAGAGTCTAAGGTGTAGCGATCTTGATCAGAAATAGAGAAAAAAGGCAGGTGGCAATTATATCAAGCTTTTAGTCCTTTGGGATGGGAAGCTCATAGGCAGTCCACTTTATACTATTATTGTTATTTTTATTGGTAAGACCACTTTATATTACGTAGTGCATGTTGTCACCATTTGGATATATTAATCTAGTGGCATATGTCTAATTTTACGTAGAAAAATGTAGTAAATCGTACAAAAAGAAAATTTAAGTGGCGTCATGGAAACATTGGCTGTTATCTTATGGACGATGAAGAATAAAAAGCTTTTTTTTTTTTTTTTTTTCTGGTTTTGGTATACAAATTTAAATAGTTGAAAAATTCTTAAACATTCAGATAAGATCTATAAATTCTTAAACATTTTAATTTTCAAGAATTTTGAGATATGAGCTCATAGCTATTCTTTTCCAATAAATTTAATATGGCTGGAAATTTTTCCTTTGTAGAGAGAAAATAGTGAGCGACTGAGCCCAATGAAGAAAAGAGAAGAGAACAGCCAACGTTTAAGCCCTTTAATTCTTTAGAAACAAGTTCACATATATTCCTTAGCATATGCTTTGCTTCGCGAAGTGACAGCATGAGAAATGTCAGAACATTGGAGACAAAATTTCTTAGATAAAAGCCTTCTCATTTGCACCTAAGAACTACTTAAAATTTGCGTAAGTACTTAATTTTGGTACTAGCAAGCATGACAGATTTACTAATTGTACTGTTTCCTTTTTTGCCAGATGAATGCTAAAGGTTCATTCTTTAACTCTTTCTTTGTAGTTTGCTTAAAATCTTGCGCGCTTGACCTTTCCAGCTTTATTGGGTTCTCATCTTCATCCTTTGCATTTAGTAGTACTCTCCAACTACAATAACTACAATACATAAATTAAGTAAAAATTAAGATTAGTACCCCCACTATGGTCATACACAGACACAAATACATATACAGATATAGAAAATTATGTATGTATTAAGAAAATATACAAGACACGAGAGTCCTTTTACATCATACAGATCAAGAATTTGTTACAAGTACAATGACTTTATTCGTATTTAAGTACAATGACTGACAAATCACACAACTAGCTTACTTCTGTTTCGTATACTGTAGGATGGAAAATATGGCCTGCACACTTGTTAGGAGAAGCAATGCACATGCAGCCAGAAACGCAATGAAAGACCACGGGTTATTAAAATATTTCCTCACTAGGTGCGCCCTCCAAATATGCCAGCGCTTGCGGGAGTACTCGTCCACATCATCAAAAATTTTGTTGTAACAGAATCTCCCGCCAACATGGACGTGTTTGCTTAGCTTGTTAAACATTGTAGAGAGTGCTTCATCACTACCTAACCAATTCACGATGATATCATGTCTGCGAAGCGTTTCAACATCGGATGGGGAATTTATGAGAAAATCTATGAAGATTATGTAATCACTTATACACCTCCATGTCTCAGTTGGATTAGACATATACTCTTCATATGCAATCAGGTTTCTGCAGAAGGGTTCTGTACGATCTTCCACAACTAAAGGAGGGATTTTAAGTACACCATTTTCGAAAGTGATACGGAACAAGGATTTACTATCCTCTGCCTTCTTGAACTTGATTCCACTTTGTCGGAGCTCACCAGCTGATTTTATGGTCAGAGATGAGTCTCTACGATTGGAATTCATGGTTGAGGAAAGTGTTTCAGAAAATGAGGCAGACAGAATTTTGTGCACGAGGCCAAGAAGATGAACCGCATTATAAGGTTCGAAGATTTCAGAATGAGAATTTAGACCTGGATTGGGCAAGTTCCCAACCAGACAGAGATGAATAGCTAGGTCAATAAGGTTCTCTTCTTCTCCTGGCGACTTGGTCATGTCAAACAGCTGAAGCAGGACAAAAAAGGGCAACTGATTCTCAAATAATATAAGGTCATTCTTAGTGGCATAGCGTAGCCAAAGCATCTGAAAAAGGGGGTCATTCTGCAAGCGCAATTCTGGAAGTCTCCTTTTCCTCAAGAACTCGATGACAAAGCAGCCATCAAGGCATAGCATGTCGACAAAAGCATCATCACTAAGACTGATTTCTTCTGCGTAACACCTTCGAGCTTGATCTTGACGATTAGTCAAAGCTATGATGTATTTCTCAGCACTCTCACCTGTACGACGAAGAAGCTCATTGAAGTACCTTACCTTATGCTTCTCCATCTCTTCCAGTTTAGGCTTACCGTGGTGATAAGGTCCGATGGAAACCACTAGTGGTTCGTATGCCTCTTCTTTTGCACTTCGTAGTTGACCATGGATTTTGAAGATCGATGGCTTCTCCGATGTATCCAGTAGGTCAGAAAGCTTTTGATCAATTCTAGACATCTCTTGTTGAGTACATATAAAAAAGAGGAAAAATTGCTGCGCGCGATAAAACATCAAGAGAATCAGCCAATTGGGGAAGGTATGGGTTGGGAGGGGAAGTGTGAGTAAAAGGTCTTAGGTTTGAATCCTTTCACTTGCGCCATAAAAAAAGTTTTTTTTTTTTTTTTTTTAAAAAGGAAGGATCAGCTAATTTAACCGTCAAGGTTGATTCCTATTGGAGTGAATCTTAAGGTCCGAGCTAGATAACCGTCCCTAAAATTTTTATTTTTTTTTTAAAATACCTTGTCAGTGACTAATGACATTTTGTTGTTTCTTGGGTACAGTTAACTTGCACCAGAACATGCCTTTTGATCAGACAGTAGATTAAAATTCTCTGAATGATAAGCCAAGCCTAAAATTTGGCTCCAAACCATATTGAATATAGAAGCAGTCAAAGATGAAGAAAAGGAAAATCTTATTCATATACCAAAGTTAATTTACAAGATATAGATGAAAGCTCTGAAGCGCAGTCGACGTCAGATGATCAACACTTAGCTAGACAAGAAGGTAATTGCGAGCATATACATGGAATCTATTAATGCTTAGAAATTTAGTTTGAGCCTGTGTAGTCCGTACTTTAACAGTGTGGAAAATTTTGTCAAATTGTAGTTACCAAGAATGTACACTATCAGCTGGAAAAATGTTCCTGATGCTAAGAATCATAATGAGGACACAAATGTTGGATTTTCTATCTCTTATGCAAACTTTTTTGGGTAGGTCTTGTGCAAACTAAAGACAAAGAAGAAAAGTTTATGAAATTCAGAAATTATCAGTAACTTACCGTTCTGTGTTTCTATACTTCCTGTTTAAAAGATGGATGAAACATGAATGATGAACAATTTTTTGTTTTCAGAAAGGACTCCCATGTGGGAAGCCCAAACATACAATGCTAGTTTTGTTGTTAGGAATCCCGAAGAATGAAGATAGAGCTCACCGAAGTTGGAGAAAAAGATGTAAGAATATACGTACTTGCACAAGTAATGTATGTATACCGAAGATGATTCCCGCGTAATGCCAACTTCATGAGTTGACTTTAACAAAGTAGAGGCTTAAACCTTTTTGTACATCATTAACTCGGAAAATTATATATAATCCTGATGAAAATTAATGGGATGAAATTAAAATTTCTCAAAAAATTTTACATAGAAAATTGAAAATTTCCTTTGGCATGGTAGCTCCGCCAGTTGTTGGCTCGTTTGGCTATATAGATTTGTATACAAATGATAAGGGCAAGGGGAAAGCTTTACTTTTTACTGTAGACACAACATTTAAAACCTTAGCTCGAACCAGCCGGTCGAACAGATTGAACCGTCAATTGGCCTGTTTTTCAATTTAAGTTTGCTTCAAAATTCAGTTAGTATAAATTTTACATTAAATCAATTTAACCAAACGGTTCAACCATTGAACCATTGAACCAGAACGATTTTGTGAAACCGACCGATTCAATGTCCAATCTTAATTAAGTC